AGTGGGGGGGGGGGGGGGAGGGGTATAACCCTGATGAAAATAGTGATATCACACTCCTTGCCTAAAATTGTTAATCCAATTTCCAAAATTCAAATTATGTTACGCTTTGGAATGATATTTGATTGATAATTTAATACCATATTTTTGTATTCGTTAATGTGATACACCTTCAAAATATACTATCTCAATTCCTTTCGACAGGGTATATTAGTGGTTTTTTATGGGCAGGAAAAATAAAAATGAGAATGAGCTGGTTTCTTGAAAAGTGTACCCTTTTTGAGGTCGGTATCTAGGGGTTCAAGGTACGAATATCAGGTATTTGTGTTTACCACCCGCATTTTGATTGATTAATTACTATATGTGTGGTTGAATTGACCTCGGTAACTATAAAATTGATTCCCCACGCAAGGCTTGTGTGAACAGCATTGATAGAGATGACAGCGATGAAAGGACTTCTTCAATGATGATTAATGTTATAATAATCTTTATCGGCATGTCGTGTCTAACAAAGTTATTTTGATGCCCCACACGAACACAAGGTAAATATTTTTGGTATTGTGTTTTCATAATAGGCAAAGGTTTTAGGAATGTTGATGGTTTGTGCTTAACAGATGAGGCAATCAAAGAATGAAAAGATGTTTGATTTAAAGCGATTGGTAGGCGACGAAATAATGAATCACTCCGGAGTAATGAAAGTGAGGTTATTGACATCGTTTAGGAAGGTTCATGGTCAAGTCACACTTCATGGTTCATACCACCTGTTTCTGTATGTTTTTTTTTCAATATGATGTGCCTCTAAACATGTCTGTATCGATGCAACCTTTCTCCCTTACTTTTTGACGACTAATACAAGCGACTGATCCTCCTTCCCATGAAGTCCGCATTCTCCTTCGATCTTTCTTGATCGTGATCCATCAACTCCAGAGTCTTGTTTTATGGCGCATACCACTTAGCAATCAACTACCCATGCATGCTTCAAGAAAATATTGATTTTTCCCTGATATGGATCATTAACAAATTCATAAAAAGTCTTCATAAGCTGGTTCAAAGTACATAGTACAAAAGTTGTCATATTCAGGGATAATATTACAACTGTTTTTTTAATTATTCTACAATTTGGCTCCAGATATTTTGTTTACCTGGTGCAGAGAGAAGAGAAGGTCGCCGGAACTTGATTTGATAGAAAGTTTCCAGGTGGTAGAATAAAGGTAACCACGTGGATAGAGAAACGCCCCTCTTAGTGAACATAAAACCTTCTGGAATGACAGCAGAAATGTTAATAGAACAAACATGAAGAATGAAAAAAAAATCGAATAGGGGGCTATAATAATGATTTTAAAAAATGGAAATGTCTCTGTAAACTTAAGAAAGTGCGCGCATTTTGAATATTACATACATCTCATATTGCCTTCTCAAAATATCGAAGGCAAAATTCATTGTGATCTGTAGGCAGTGACCTTTTGAGTTATCTCGTTGACCCTCGTAATCAGTTGACTTGTACCCCCAAGAGGCAATGGTATGTTCTACCGTTTAGGTTCAGGACTCCAAATAATATTGGATCATGTCGGTTTGTTCAGATGGAAATAATGTTTTTTTGCAATGTTTTCATTGGTAAATGTATAACAATCTTCTACCCCTCATTATTCCCCACGTGGTTTTGATTCTGTAATTTTTTTGTTTCTATACCTTGAATTCCAAGGCATCTTTTTTCAGGGTATTTATTTATAGTTAGGTCGAAATTCCTCAGTTCTTTTTCAATCGTAGGGAAGTATTCTCCCTTTTTTCAATCATTTACTTTACCTGAACGTTGAATCCACACGACACAGTATCTGTGTCCTTATGTATTCGTCCACTCCATCAAACTAATTAACCCTCTCTCTCTCTCTCTCTTCCTTTCTTTCCCTCTCACTGTCGTTCTCTCTGTGTTCTTTTCTCTCTGTCTCTATTTCTACCTTTTGCTCCCTGTTTCTGCCCCTTTCTCTCGGTGTTTGTCTATGCGTTTATATCCGTCTCTCCCTCCTCCAAAACACTCACTCACTCACTGACTCACACTATCACTCTCACCCTCTTTCCCTTCACGATAGGAAAATCCCTATATAATGATGGTACAAGTAGGAGGTTCTAAATTAATTTTCACATTTGACATGATAAACCAGCGAGTGACCTATCGAACATAATTTGGTATCTATGTAATAATTCCGGGCAAATCTTCCGATTTTAATAATATCGAAATATTCTAGGTAATCGATATTTTACTAAGACAATGGGCAGGCACCAAGCGTAAATTAACTATTGACCAAATGAAATCGAGTAAAAAAAAAATATTTTCAGGGATGCTTGTAGATGTAAATTATATGGATCAGGCCCATGTATGAATCGAGACTGGAATCATGTTTACAACGAAGAGTTCGGATCACAAGACATTACAGTATCGTTAATGTGAGCATTTTCCTAAACCCTGTCCTTTCCTAGTAAACTCTATAATCTAATAGCTTTGATGTAAGCATCTCCCCTAACAATGTTCTGAGTAAGTAAAGTGATGGGTAACCGCTCATATAATCTAATACTTTTAATGTGAGCATTTTCCCCTATCCTAGCTCTGCATCAAGGCGGGAAGTAGCATCAAATTGGCAGATCCTACTCCCAGATAACTCAATTTTAGCGGGTTAGTTCGCGCTTAGCTAACTCGGCCACCAAAATCCGCTTTCATTGCTTGCGTGTTGCCCTGCGTGTTGGCTTATAAGTAAAATGACTCCAGAAATATACCTCTCGTTCCTCGTACAAAATAAAATCAATGGCAAGAGCAGTCTGCTATTTTCCAAAAACACTGCCAACAAGTTGAGATAAAGACAAAATTCGTCTCACGCCATAATTACTGGTGCATAAGAAGCTTTGACAATGGTTTGTGCAATATTGCGGTTAATTTCGATGAAGCAAAGAACAGGTCCGTGCATTCTGTGGTGAAGCGAACGTGGCCTAATTTGGTATGGGTAAAAATGCGCTACGAAAAGAGAAACAAAAACATCCTGAGAGATTTGATTTTGGTCAGATCTATGGTTAAATGAATAGTCTATCCGAAAATCTGGTAGAATTAAGGCGTAGGAAATAAATCAAGAATTGAGAATACATAGTTTAGAAGAAATAAATCAAAAGGCGCAATGACCGCGACAGATATTTCAAAAGCAGGTTGTATATAAAGGTATCATTCATTTTCTGGTGTGATTGAACAATAATTAATCGCTCAAGGAATGCTTGAGGTTTGGGGTGTAAAGCAAGAAATTAATTTGCCATATTTTTCGATTCAACGCCATACGTAGAAATTAAGTTCTTAGAATACAAATTCAATGCAACAATACAACATGATACAATAATTAACATGGAAAAGAATGTCCAGTATTCTGGAATTTGAAGTAATCATTAGGAAACTATGGGTGAATTTTTTATCCAAAAATATGAATCTATTGGTAAGTGGAGTTCATTAACGTTATCATTCATATATACACTGTTCTACGTATCTATGTTAATATATATTAACCTGCTGTAGTTCACTACCTTGCCGCCGTGCTCATGCATCAATAAGTTCTTTCAAAACGTGTTTAAATATAATGGACCAAAATATGTCAACTTTTGTGTACCTCATTCAAGACTTTTTATATGTCTTTTCCGGAGAAAAACTTGCGGACAATTGGCACCTTATTTATAGTAGCCACACCTACGGGTCTTTTATTTTATTTTCACTAAACAGTGAGGCATTCCATTCAGTCGCTTCTGAGGGACTGTCTAACTATTTGCTGCATCACCCTCAATAGTTTCTTTCTAAACGTGTCCGTTTCTATGATGATATTTATATCACAGATAAAAAAACAGATTCATTTTTTTTGTGGTCCGTTTTGATGAGCGAGACATTATGTCTATCATAAATACGTCAGCAAATATTTTACGCTTCTCTGTTTTTGTATTTTTCATTTCAAGGTCAAAAAGACAATTCTAATGCCACTTGGTTCACTGAACATTTATTGTGCAGGCACGCGAGTAATTCGGACGTACGAAGTGACTCTGAAATTAAAAAAAATAATTGATACAAGGTTATCGATACTATTTCTCCGTTCTCTATTTGTCCCGTTTTGATATAAATAGCGATATTTTGTTTCTCAATAAATACAATTTTTATTTATTTCACAGGGATGGCTAAATTTAGATCTTGTTTAAACATTGTTTTTAATATATTTATTGTAAATAATAGGACGGACGATAGTGAATGACACATTATCAAATAAATAAAGGAAAATAAATTACGACACAAAAATATAACAGGTGATTGACATTTCTTGTAAATTGTAACAAGAGGGGAAATTTCCATGGCAACATCGAAAATATAACAGGGCGTTGGTTCTATCTAAAACAAACCATTTTTCTATGGTTCACTATGAATAATTAGAAGACAGGTCCCACACAGACGACACATCATGATGAACTTTCCTTTGTCTAGTACACCGCACAGTGTTTTTATACAAAAACCCAGCCCATTTTAATAATAATTAGTCAAGCATATTTTCAGTAAATCATTATCGTCGCGACATAATTATTTTAAGGTGTACTAGTTCCAATTTTTTCTGAGAAGGTGATAAAGGTTCCGGTGAGATGACTTCCCCCGGCTTCCCTTTACAACCATTTCCGATGTCGGATCAGAACCAATCGATTCACCTCTGTATCAAGATCACCACTACCGTCAACCCCAGATAGTAGTTGCCTTGTAACACGAATGGCCATGGCAGGAATAAAGACGGAAGCTAGATGAAACGCTTCAAAGTCATATTATTTCCACACTAGTATGTCGAAGGCATGCAGACGATTGATATCGAACTCGATAGCAGTTCCGCCTAAGTTTAGCGCCATCACCTATTGGGCAATTTTGTGCGCAGCCGCAGTAAGTTCCTAAATACAGTAGTGAGCTGGCTTCGTGTGGTGGACTCTGGTATTTCATTCACGCAACATCGAGAGAAAAGGAACTGTACGAACGTCGCTCGCCTACGCCAACTTTTATTTATTTTTGACGTATGATTTGTTCAACATTGTGGAGAGCTCATATCTTTCTGGAATAGATAATGGTGATATCAACATTACTCAGCTCATTTCACCTTCATAATTTCAAGCGAGAAATTTCTTTTGCCTAGTCACTGCAGAGGAGATAATGAGTTTTTAACTGAACAAAATTAGAGGAATTCTGTCTCGTATCGGAAAGCAATATTCATCTTAATTTTCATCTTGTGGTTTTAAAAACCAAATCGTCATCACTAGAGGGCGAATCGAGCATTATAAAGCTGGTGAGGAAGCTAATCCATGTCATTATTCTGGAGATAAAATGAGATGATGCTTTTCAAGCTAATCACAAGCTTCTTGTGACATCCATCAACTGACAAGTAATCGTTTTTTTGTTTTCTTCCTTGGAAGTTCCTCTCGCATCACCATCATCATTCCTCCACCGGGTAGGGACACGGTGGGTCGGCCAAGTGTCCGAAGTGGGTATCTAGGGGAGTGGCTCCTAAGCACTCGGTGCACCTCTTGGATATTCAGGCTCCATATCATCAAGGGATTCCTTCGAAGGAAGATGGAAAACACGAGACTATGTCTAGCGGGAATAACAATATCAGTAATCTTGCTCAGTAGTGTGGTACTCAACGGCGGCTCGACTCTTGCGTATGAGCTGTCCCCAGCCGCCTCGTCAACCAGGCGAAGAGACAATGGCGTGCAAACAGTTTTGGACTTATTGGATTTTGCTCAGGAGGAGGAAGAGAGGCATTTACAAGAAGAATACGCAGACCAAATACACAATCACCAAAGAGTGAAAAGATTCCCAAGAATAGTAAGTTTCTATGTCCTAATTTAGTATTGAAATGTATTATTTGATTAACTGTATGCCACACAGTTATGTACATAAATGTTTCATATTATGGATTTGTTCTTACATACTCTAATAAGGCCAGAAAACATGTTAATTATATTAAGGGCAAATTCATATAATTGTTAAGAACATAATAACTATGCTGTAATATTCAAACGCACGTTATGATGACTGTCCGGTACACACGATTGCTTAATACGCATACTAGATGACTGTGACTCTAGCAATTTTCTTCTCATTATCGATCTTGCCTTTCTCTGGCCTCTGTCTGCTACTACCAGTAGTCTTTATTGATTTGTTTGTATATTATGTCTTTACATTGTTACCTACAAAAGATAAGCATACAATTTGATCTCATATTTCTTGCTTCACGTCATCTGTATCGATCGGTTTGAGATCTTTACCGGATTATATTTCATCCGTCGTTCTCTACTTTTATGGTGTCGATGCTTTCATAATATTCCCATGAAAGTTAATACATGACATTTAACCAGTGTTTCTGTATATAGTAAGCATAAGGTGTATGATCATTTACCTGGTAATGTATAGGTTTACAATCGATACGGGACCTGAAGAAACAAGACAATAATATCATTCCAAAAGTCATCGTTTTATTTGAACTGCATAGAACAATCTCATACCCTTGATCAAAAAATAGACTGTCGTGATAAAAGGCGATTATCCTACATCGTGACAGTAATTAGTCTTGCAAACAAATTATCCGCGGTAGCTGCCTTGTTGCAGTGGTATTTGAGCACCTAATTCAGCGCTTAGATTTATGACACGGGGATCATCTGTACTTTGTGCAAGATTTAAAGTTCAGAAAGAGTTTGTGTACTTATTGTCAATTATTGGTTATCAGTTATCATTCTAATTGTGGTTACACACGACTTGTCAATGAGGGTTTTGTTGACAGCTCTGAATACCTATGCACACGTGTCAGAGCGGTGAAGGGCAGCTATAGCTAAGGGGGCCGCGAGGCAGGGTAGGCAGGCATGCAGACCAGGCCAGGGTACTCACAAACGCTATTCTACTGGTCTTACATAGCAATGGGCTCTTAGATGTAACCTGTGACAACGGGATAGACAACAGACATCCTTGGGTCGCTTACCTATAACCCTTCATGTCAACCGCGGTATGCGGGTTTATCCCGTCCCCTTTCCACCACCTCTTCTCTCTCTCTCTCTCTCTCTCTGTTTCTTTCTTTCCCACCCCACCCTCTCTCTGTCTGTCTCTCTCTCTCTCTCTACCGATCTCAAGCTCTGTGGCTGTCTCTTTCTCTCTGTTTTCCGTTCTCTCTCTCTCTCTCTCTCCCTCTCCACGCATTTTTCATGTACCGTTGTCCCTTTTGTCTCTCTATTTTATTCTTTTAATTTTCTTGTCTCTGTCTTTGCCTATATCTATATATTGCCTAAAATAAAATTGCCTTTTCCTTTTTTTTTTTAAATTCACGACTTCAATCTATCGTCCGATCCCCATATCTGTAGATTCATCGCAATGTCTGTTGTACTTTTGGTTAGGACTTAGGGCTTTTAAAAAGGCTGCACTGTCTTCTTCCTTCGCCTCGAGTTTAATATGCGCCGTACTTGGTGGATTATCTCTACATAACTCCATTAATGACTGGCTCACCGATTTTCATTCGGCAATGTTAAAGATAAACTTGATTTCTGGTAAAAAAAAAGAAAATGAATTCTCACAGAATCTAACGAAACTTACACTGAATGTTCAAGATTACAAATAAACTACATGTGCCAAACAATTTTGGAAGAAAAGTATACTGGCTGAGTAATGAGCATAGAAAGATAAGGAAATCAGGGTAGTACAAGCCCCGACACCATGTGTGTTGTCCCATATACATCTTTCTGTGTAAGTGATTGTTACTTTACCAAGACTATGCCAAATTTATGATGATTTTGATGACTCCAGAACCTTGCATTACACACCATTACTTACATGCTATATGATCAACTTTTCTGATCCATTCCACACCTTTTCTTTCACAATGCAGTCGCATTACCAGAACTCAAGTATATCTTTAAATAGTTATAGACTGATACAGTATCAATGTTCGGTGATACTAGTTGTTATGAATGTTCATCAAATACGCAGACAACTGCATGATATACCTCTTGCTTCTCCCCCTCCCACATTTACACATGCTATTTTTCCGAATTGGAAGTGTGTCTAAATATTGACATGAAGACCTTTGTGTTGACTGTCGAGCCCACGGAATTTTGTTTGATGTAGATTAGCGGGTAGAGAAAGAAAGAAGGAGAGAGGACAAATGTAAGAGTTAGTATTTTAGTTGCATCGGTGTTATTCTTTATCTCATCCTGAGCGCACCTGCTTGAAGTTAAGAGCAAATGCTTTGTCTCGGTGCGATGATATAACGGTAAACCGTTAACCGTAGTACCTCTGTGATGTGATGCGGCACGTCTTACCGCACCTGTCGGAGCATAGTCGGAAGATGGCATGTTGTTTGGGTGAGAAGTTTGACAGATAGACTGCTTCCTTTCAAGGCGGGATAGTCTTCTCGTTATCTCACATACGTCATCCGCATTCATAAATCAGTCTGCGTGAACCTGTCAGTGCCAATCCAAGCTAAAGGATATAAATGTATGAAGCAATAAACATCACAATGTTTATAATGTTATTTTTGTTTTACGCCAGGCTCGTACCGCCTCTTATACAATCTAAGACAGTGCCGGTTTCGATTAGGTTTCACCCTATGAGTTATGTCTTCATGATAGTTGACACAGACTCGCATATTGAGGAAGAGTTGAAAGCCATGATTTAGCAGTTCTGAGGTAATATGGACACATAATCACCGAAGATACAAACATGTCTCTTGATTGAATTATGAAATATTCAATATAGAGCATTCATGCGGTACACAGGGTGAATAAGAGCATACATAACGTTAGAGAGCCTTTCCCCTTTTAGCCATTGAAGTTCATTAAAATGACACGTGAGTTCACATGGTTAACGTCAAGAGCACCCATGCAACTCACGCCCCGAAACCAAATGATTCCCTACAGCTAGCTCTCAATGTTTGCCGTGATGTCAGGTCCGTAAACGTGCCATCCATATCTATAAAGGTCATAAATTGAGACACACATCAACGGGACAGTGACCAAAACATTTGTGAGGGTGAAAGATCGGGGAAATTGTCGAGGCAGTGTCGGCTGGTGGACTTTAATCTTAACCACCAGAAGAAAATTAATGTTTTGCACTTCAAAATGTGTTTGTGGCTTTGCTGAGAGACGATTGGTTTAGTGGCGTATAAATCTTTACCCTTAAGTGCCCCTATCTGATATTTCAATCACATTACTATACATACCTGTCGGCTGTTCCTTCCAAACATATTTTTGTAAACATTAGGCATTGCTCGTGAATCAGACCATCTTAGAACATAAAGTACCAGAGTGTCAGATAGTGCTAGAATTTAAGACTTTGGTGCACTTTTTAAAAGTTGAAAAACCTCAGTTAACCTGATCGCACCGCGAGTTAAAGAACAAATACTATTATATCATGGAAGTCTTTATACAAAAGGCAAATTATTTTCTCATATATTAACTTTCTATTATATTTCTTTCCCACCAATATGTATTTGACTGTAGATGACTTTCTGCCATGATGACCTTTTGTAATACTCACGATGACGTTTTTCTTAGGTAAAATATTCAAAGTCTTCTTTGACCAAGGAACTCCTTGCTTTGACCAAGTCGGCAATGGACCTGCCAAAGAGATTTGTCACTCTTAGAACACAAGAGATTGCGAAGAGTCATATTTGAGATAGTGATAAGATGGAGGGATAATCCTGTTTACAGGACACACACTCTCTTTAGCGACCAGAGGCTGTCTGAATCCGTTTCAACGATCACTCACCCGGGTGATGTTTTCGTCCTCTGCAAATCTGAACAAAGGCACACAAACAATACCCACCTAATTTTACTTTTCCGATATCAAAATGGTGCAATTAAACGTGAATCATGATGTTTATGACAAAAATTTAATTTGCCATGTGGCCTATACAGAATCTAAGAAGAAATGATAATTACATCTAGTTTCCGCCGCTATCAAAGCAAACTTTAAATGACGACATTGCTTCAATTGAAAATGAGACGAGTTCTCCTTGGCGTCATCTAATTGTTTGCCTTTTAGGGTACGCGTGTAGGTGGTAAGATGGATTGAAGAGAGTCTTTTATAGTTTGTATGTGTACATGGGGTCCAACTGGTGGATCAGGGCTACTTAATAGACATAATTAACCCAGACCATTGCTACTAAGTCGATTGACATACAGGAGTCAAACGGCTTCTCTTCCAAAAGACCCTTTACTTAAGGGCAGGTCCATTGTGCACTTTGAAAAGTCAGGAATGTTTGTGGGTTTTATTAGCCCATCATCACAACGCTATTCAATAACACAATGTATGCCTCACGCAGCGACCCACATAGAAAGATAGAGACGTCGAGAAAACGAAAAGAAATGCGAAACAGAGCGAGTTAATGCGAAAAACCCAGTTTTTGTATGATATCTCGAAAAAATAAATATCTGCAGATAATTGTGACTAAGGGCTTGCGATAAATGACTGCGCGACTGAACAAAGGCAGAGGAATGTGACCGTTCTCTCGACCTCCTATCCCGGACTATTGTCCTTTCTCAAACTCTGTGTATGAATCGAGTTATAATGATTGCAAACCTGGTGGTAAATCATTTGGAACAACCCTAAGGTAGACAAGTAACTGCAGGTGGATTGAAAATAATAGCACTCCTGGGTTTTATTTTTAAGTTGTTTTAATTCGAGGAACTAAATCATCATCCTCGTCGGTTTCACTGCCTCCCAGACAAGAAGATAGCGGAAAAACAAATTAATGTCCAAGGTCGTAATTTATGAGGCATTTATCGGTTGAAGATGAGCCTGTCTAAAGTCACATTTACGACTACAACTATTCATCACAT